TAACAGTCAACTTAGAGAAGTGCAAATTCGCTCAAACGCAAATCGAATTCCTGGGACACGCAGTTACCTCGGAGGGCATCAAACCGTTACCCGAGAAGGTTCAAGCGATCATCAACTTCCCGGTGCCGGAAGTCGCCAAAGAGTTACGACGTTTTTTGGCAATGATAAATTTTTATCGTCGCTTCCTGCCAAACGCGGTGCAACACCAAATACCCCTCGTCAAATTAACACCAGGTAACCGAAAAAAAACGACACAACGCGAATCAAATGGACCGACGAGGCAATCAACCATTTCAACGAATGCAAAAAAGAACTGGAAAACGCAACGCTATTGGTTCACCCAGCACCGAACGCTCGAATATCGCTCACAGCGACACTGCCATCGGCACAGCACTTCATCAAATTGTACACATTTAGTTTCAGCCGCTGGCGTTTTCAGTCTAAAACTCATCGAAGCACAACAGAGGTACAGTATCTACGACAGGGAATTACTCGCGGTATACCTAGCTATCAAACATTTCCGAGCCATGCTGGAGGGAAGACTTCGAGGTACGAACATACCACAAACCGTTAGTCTACGCTGTCGCACAAAAATACGAAAAGGCATCACTGCGACAGCTGCGTCATCTGGACTTCACCAGTCAATTTACGACGAACATCATACACGTCGCAGGCGACGGGAACAGGACAGCAGACACACTATCGGCTATCGAAGCGGTTGAATCAATAACCATCGACTACCACCGGATTGCCGAAGATCAAGTTAGTTGCCCAGAACTGAAGAAACTCATCGAAGGCGACACAAAGATTATCATTCCAAACACAAGGCATACAATCTACTGCGATACATCTATAGCATTTTCAGTTTAAATGAAACTTTTTTCAAATTAAATGAAACCTTTTTCAGGTTAAGCGAAACCCTTTTCAAATTAAATGAAACCTTTTTCGGATTCTATGAAACTTTATTCAAATTAAATGAAACTTTTTTCAGATTCAATCCAAACCAAATGAAACTTTTTTCAAATTAAATGACACTTTATTCAAATTAACAGCCAATGTAAGCAATTTAAGTGAAAAATGATCTTAATTTTTTTAATTTTATATGGAAATTGGCAGAAAATAAAAAATAATATTTCATTTAAATTGCTGGTGAAACTGGCTGTAAGTATTAAACATTTTTAAAAGTAAGGAACAGGAAATCAGCTTAACCTATTAAGAGCCGTTTGCACCATGTCTGGCTAACACTAAAGGCTCTGTTATGCATACTTGGCTTTGCTTGAGAGTTGTCACATAAGGAATCTGTTAAATTAGCTTCGCGTGTAAGCTGTTACCCAACGCACAGCATACGTAGAAGTCTGTTGGTTTTTGATTTCTACGTAAAAACACGTACGTAACAGAGCCTTAACTCACAGTTACACATCGTTATCGACGCCATACTTATATCAGGGAGTCGATAACGCCGATTATGATGTTTAACTGGGAGAATATTTTTACTGTTGCTACACGAATTCAAAGCTGTAAACTATTATTTTCTTAAGGGAGAAGAGGGAAAAAAAGTACAAATACTCTCCCTTCTCACTCACTTGCTTAAGCGAAATGTAAAATTTGGCATTTGCCACAGCACAGCAACATTCAACTTCGATTCAATAATAATTTTGACATGTCCCATTTCTCTTTTCCTTTTCACATCATCCTTTACATGTACTCCCGAAAACAGAGATATTTGAAGTTTTATAAAATGAATAAATTATATGATTTGCATAGTTACCAAAACCCCTCGACAACAAACCAACCAACCTACCAAAGCCTTATTTTAAGAAATGAAACTACCAATTTTGGTCCAATTGGACCGAAACGGCAACACTGTATTCAACATGCCTTGACCCTAAGGGAGAGCAACATTCATTCATTTCATTTAATTTGAATAAAGTTTCATTGAATCTGAAAAAAGATCTCATTTAATTTGAATAAAGTTTAACTGCATCTGAAAAAGGTTTCATTTAATTTGAAAAAGGTTTCGCTTAACATGAAACAGGTTTCATTTAATTTGAAAAAGGTTTCGCTTAATTTGAAAACGGTTTCATTTAAACTGAAAATGCTATACATCGGAAGTACATCCATTCGTACCACGCCCGCATCGCAAAGATATCATCGACAAAATGCATAGCATCTCGCACGGAGGCGTGCGTGCAACCACAAAGCTCATCAAGGCACGCTTTGTTTGGCCAAATATGGGCAAGAAGTGCAACGATATCTCAGCTGCCAAAAATCTAAGGTCAGTAGGCACGTTCGCTCACCACTTGTAACAACTTTCTTTGCCGTCGTGTAGATTCGAACACATCAACATCGATCTCATCGGACCACTTCCGCCATCGAGTGAATTCCAGTACTGCCTCACGATTATCGACAGGTATACGCGATGGCCAGAAGCCGTTCCTCTGAGAGGCATAACAGCGGAAACAGTCGCCAGAAAACTCATCAATGTTTGGATTTAGCGCTGTGGTATACTAGCACGCATGACAACCAACCAAGGAAGACAGTCCGAGACGCAGCTTTTTAACGAGTTGTCACGCATGCTGGGTATAACCCACCTGCGGACAACGGCATATCACCCGCAAGCAAATGGCATCATCGAACGCTGGCATCGCCCACTGAAAACAGCAATAACGTGTCACGAACGACAAGACTGGATAAGCCGCTTGCCTATAATCTTGCTAGGACTCCGCACAGCATTCAAGCCCGACATCGGTACAAACGCCGCGCAACTTGTCTACGGTACCACATTACGGTTGTCTGGACAGTTTTTTAACGATAGGCAAATCTTCCGACCACAGTCGGACTTCGTCAGTCAGCTTTCCGACATAATGCAGGAGATTCGCCCAACTCAAACCGCGAATCATGATTCCTCAAAAGCATTCGTATTCAGCAAACTTGCCGATGCAACGCGCATATTTGTACACAACGATAAAGCTCGACTGGCGTTCCATCCACCTTACGATGGCCCATATCCAGTGATCTCTAGACACCCTAAATATTACACCGTCAAAATCAACCGCAACAACGTAAATATATCCAGAGACCGACTTAAGCCAGCATTCATCGAATCCCATCAAGCAGATACTCAACCAACGACAACCGCGACTCCACAACATTCAGCCACGACGCACACAACACCATCATCTACATTATCATCGACACCCGAACAGTTGCCTCCGAAGGAGACATCAACAAACCGCAGCGGACGCAGGATAAGACTCCCCGTCCGTTTCCGGACGTAAAGTCTGGAGGGAGCACTGTGGCAACCTGGCTGAACTAACGAAACGATGGCAACCCAGCATAGCAAGTGCACTTAATCGTTTTGACAGAATAAATTCTTAGCAATCGACTGGCCGGTGAATATAGACTTAATTACTTTTTCATCTACATTTAACATAGAAACAAGTTCATTGTAAAGAATTATATTTAGACATTAAATAATACCGAAGTATTATATGCGAATTTGATTTGTGTTTAAATAAAGCGAGTAAATCTCTTTGACTCATTAAATCCCACACTAGAGTTCACTCTTTAAGGCAAAACTGTGTGCGTTTGACAAAAGGGCAGAAATGCAAAATATTCGACAGTTTTTACAACAAACATATGGCAACATTTCGCACTTGTAGTTTCGCACAAACGCACAGCTGAAACCCTGACTGAAATGCAAAGAGCGAGAAAACTGTGCTGTGCTGTTGGTATATCGCTTCGGCAGTTAAAGCGACAGCACTAACGAAGCGCAACGAATATTTAAAACCGCGCTGTTGCTGAAGTGTTTGAAATTTCGCGGCCAGAGCAACAACACTGTTCATGCTTTTATGCAAAACGAAGTCCTCATTTTTGCCTTTCGCATCGTAACATAGTAACAAAATAAACTATCTTATGTTGAAAAAACTATGTGCTTATTTAATAAATATGTTAAATTATGTATTTTAATAGTGTCTAAAAAGTGGAAACTGCTGATTTAGTGCATTTTTGATCGTGTAATTTCTCATACAAAATAGCGATATTTAAAAAAGTTGTTTGTTCGTAACTTTTAAATGGTTATTAGTATTAACTTTTCGCCTCCGGATTGTTGATACAGGGACCGAAACGCGTCGATTGGTACCCTTCCCTTTTTTGGACCTTTTTTTAGCAGTTGTACTTATACCTGAGGGTAATCTGAGTTTAAATCACAGTCGGAAAAAACTGGTGGGAAATGTTTAGTTATTTGTACAATGATTTTGTGGCATGGAGCGGCGGTTTTAGGGATGCAAAAAAACATCGATGCATCGGAAACATCGATGTTTGCTATTCGATGTATCGAATAAAACCGGTGTGTTGGACTTTCCGATATACATCGATATATCGACGTTTTTTTATGCATCGACTTTTGTGTGCAATGTACACTGTACATACTAAAATTATTTTGTAAACTTCCAATTTCTTCGCTCTAGTAATTATTTAAATGTGGATTTTTCACTATTTTTGTACTATTACTATTGCACTAATAAATTGCTACCTTATTAGTAGAAACGTTTAGTGCCAAAAGACCATCTATTTGATTAATATTATATTGACACTCTAAAACCAATTTGGACAGATTCTAAACAGCAATTTCTCAAATTGTTTCACATAGCTTATCAACTTAGTGAAATAATATAAAGTGCGCCAGCCAGTTTGATGTACGCTTATTTCAAAGCAAAATTTGAGTTTCGTCATTTTCGCTTTTTTAAATTCTGGCATTAACCCTTGGTTTTGCTGCATACCTCTGCCCGATTTCAGCATAGATCCTCATTCTGATGGACTGAAAACCTCAGTACTGCAGCGTAATGTGTGCTTTTGCACATGCTGCAAGAATTTATTGACATATATTTTTTGAATTTTTTACTCAAATCAAAAAAAGGGTTAACATGAAAGTCAAATGAAGGAAAAAATTATGATAATAAACTGCCAAATAAGTATACCGAAATAGAATGTCACTGCTAGCTGGCACACTTTATATTATTTCATTATGCTTATAAACAATTAACAATTGTCACCACTTCCGTACCTTACGAAATTTTTTTTTCGAAGGCTTCTCAAAAGAACAGAAAAAGCTGGGATTTGTAACTTTTTAAATCAATTAATACATTTCACTGTGATTTATTACTTAAACACTTATCGAAGTTACGACTGTTTCATTATCTTGTTGTATATTTTTAATTAAAAGAGACTGTTGATATTTTCATTCGATGCATCGAAAATATCGATGTTTTTATGCGATACATCGATATGCATGGATGCTATATTTCGATGCATCAAATCGAGAAAACATCGATGTATTTTTTTGACTTGCATCCGTAGGGGAGGTGGATGGGTTGTGGGACCTAAAACCCCACCCATTAGAAAGAGCGCAGTCCAAACTTTAAGAAAAAACATCAGTTGCCTAGAGGTTTACATAGGTATATACATGACTTCTGCACTTGCCAAATCTATTAAATACTCTTTGAAAAATCTTAAGCTTAAGTGCCAAAGTTTATAATAACTTTATGTTGTATATAATATTTATAACATTCTTTGTTTGAATTTATAATATAATACCCTGTTCGGGCCGACAACGAAAACACTTTGAAAACGAGTTTGGGGATTGTGGGCTGTGTGTGTTTTCGTTGACATTTCTTTTATCTTTTGTTTACAGTTTTGCTACGAAAAAACGAATTCAATATCTTTGTCTTTCATTTTCTTTTCATTAGCAACCTTTTTCTTTTGTTCCTATTTTAATTTGGCCAGCCAATTGACAGTAAATCACAGCTAGTGCATTAAAGATGATAAATCATGACGACAAATATATCTAAAATACTAGTGAAGATACCGATTGGAATGAGTGGAACGTAAATTTTCAAGTATTTTTCAGCGAAAACTGGCTTTTGTTTGACAGATTTTACATGGACGAAAACACAAGTTTTAGGTCGAAAACCAGTTATAGCAACGAAAACATGTTTTCGATGTCGGTGCGAACATGGTATAAGGGGTATTTAAAAAAATAATGTACATTATTTGATCGCATCGCTCATCTTTTTTACCTTCCTTTTATTAGCTCGGGATGTAACTATGTAATATTGATTCGCCTAAAAGATGCAGCGATTTCTATTCTCAAGTTACATACCTGATGACAGTACGAATGGCAATTATAATAGGGAGGTTTTAGTTTTTTAAACTATAATTGGTGATTCGAAATAACGCATGACCTTACATACGTTCGTACATATCGCCAATCATAACTCACAATTTCATAAATATCATAAAAAAATGTTTTCAAACTCATTTCTTTAGAACAAAATTTGTGTTTAAAGGACAGATAAATTTTAAAAGCTACTTGAGTAAACGGCCCTAATTTTTATATTTTCATAACACAACCATTAATAACATAATTTTTTCTAGTCGAAAATAACGTTGCAATATATGAAGGAACATCTACATTTGTCAAAGGCTTTATAACCACTGCATCTAAACAACTTTTAAATACGGACCAACTTCTAATGAAATCGCAGGTAATAAAACCATTGAATTTGAGGTCAAGTTGTTTTTACTTTAGTAAGTATAATTTTTCCGAAAAATACTACGTTAACACTAGTTCGGTCGACGAGTCTCCGGGGTTACTATTTTACCTTTTTCCAGTCCTATTCTGCGTTGGTAACACACATTTTGTTACCGGTAGATAAAGTTCCTGGTAATTTTTCAGCCCTTTTGGCATTCGCTCACTGGTACATTTTCTTACCATCTCATAAGCAGGTAACAAAATATTGCCCCGTGAAGTATGCAACACCAGAATTTATACAAAACTTCATAGCTGAATTGCTGAATAGATTAAATTGTTGCCAAGGTACTTAGAATTGCGATTACAAATGTCAAACTAAACTACGGAAATGTCAAAAATCGATCGTTATCTTATAATCAACCTGGTTAACAAACTCGACATTCGTGCTTCAAAATAATTCGTCTATAGATCGATAATTGGTTATGGCACTACGACCGGTAGGTCTATTGTGCCCTTAGCTCAGCACAACACCTCGACTAGCCCTAGAGAGACTCTAAAAATCCGGTGATAGTGTATGTGATGAGGGTCTGCCTCACCGTTCCCAGAGTAGTCCTGGAAACCCAGGCCAATGCACCATAGGTCACTATTGGTGTTACTATCATGGTGTACATACATTTTTAGACTCTAGGAGTGCACCCCCAGGATTTTCCTGCTAGACGTTTACACACCATCATCGCTCTCGTAGCCTTCGAGGTGACCGCATCAACATGAGTCATCGACAGAAGCTTGGAGTCCAGGATAAGTCGCAGATACTTCACCTCTGTGGCGACATTGATCGCGACCCCATCCAAGTTCAAGTTCCTCATCCCCTGAAGAGTTCGTTTTTATAGTGAAGGGGACTGTCTGACTTGGAAGGATTGATATTTAAACCACACCACTTTTTTGCAAATGTTGAGTCCTCTTTTTATACGATGTCACAGAGAGTACTTGCGAACTTCCCTCTATCGATAATCACTATATCATCCGCGTACCCTTGGCATCGCACGCCCTCATTAGTTAGTATATATAGGATTTCGTCAACAACTAAGCACCACAGCAGGGGAGATAATACCCGTCTTTCCGGACACTCTTTCGTCGTTTGTATTTGAACGACGCTATGACGCGATCCTAGTCTGAAGCAACCTTGCTATCCATCTGTGGATGATTGGATGAACATTATGTTCCTCAAGTGCTCTGTCGACTCCCAGGTGGGAGGCGTTCTTGAAGGCCCCCTCGATGTCAAAGAAGGCTCATCACACTCAAAGGCCCCTTGTATTTATTCTGTCAGAGCTTACAGCGCAGTGTACGTGGATCTGCCCACTCTGTACGCGTGGAATGCAGAGGGGTGTGTTTCATAGTGTTAAATCTGATGTCATGGTCGATAATTTTCTCCATAGTCTTTAACATAAAGGAGGTTGGACTTATCGGCCTGACAGACTTGCCAAGAGAGTAATCGGTCTTACCTACCGTCGGGATAAATATAACCCGTGCCCCGCCACACAACGGGAGTGTGTTTCACAGTGTTAAACCTGATGTTATGGTCGATAATTTTCTCCATAGCCTTTAATATAAAGGAGGTGAAACTTATCGGCCTGAAAGACTTGGCAAGAGAGTAATCTCTCTTACCTACCTTCGGAATAAAGATAACTCAGGCCCCCGCCACACCACGGGAATGTGGGCTAGACTGTTCCTCATAATATCCACAAGATGTGGAAGTAGGAGCACCGCACCCTGCTTCAGCAACACTGGACACACGCCATCCACACCGGGAGCCTTGTACCGTTCGGTTTGTCAGGCTATTAGCCAGCTTCCTGTCCGATGGAGGTAGCCTGGTCGTATGAAATACCGTATCCCAGAGGTTGGAATGACGTCCGGGAAGTGGGCCGACAACAGGGTGACTGCCCTTTCCTGTTCAGTACCTGAAAAGTCCCATTACGTAGCCTAATAGCCAGCCTGATCCCTGTTTTGTCTCTCGCCAAGGCTTTGTGAAGCCTAGCAGCTGCAGAAGTAGATGCAGTGTTCTCACAGAAAATCATAAAACTGCTACGCTTAGCCTTTCTAATCTCCTTATTGCATTTTGTCAGACTGAGATACCCCCATTACCCGGTGCGCTTTGCTCGATTGAAAAGTCTCCGCACTTTTTCCTAAGTACTGAGAGTTCGCGTGACCACCAGGGAGGCTGGACATTTCTCTTTGGCCTTGACATGGGACAGCTGGAATTAAAGGCATCCAAAATAATGCCATTCAGCCTGTTGACCCTGTGCTCTAACTCCATACAATCAACCTTTCTATGTTGTGCCTCTAACTTGGTTAGACTTAGTAACCTTAGTCTTAGACTATGTTCAAACAGGCCAATTATCTGAGGCAATTAAGCTTTAAATTGCGGCATTGAGTTTGGTGTTCACACACACGTCAGCTGCGCAATAAGCGATACGAAATCAGCTGCTGGATTACCTACAGTGATGAAAAAAGTTGGTTCAATCGTACCTTTATTTAGTTTGAAAGTACATTCGGTACAAACACACTATTTTAGGTAAATTTGGAACGTAGCCAAATAACTTCCCAGGAAATCAGTTCTTATATTTATTGACATTTCAATACATTTTCTAGTGCGGGCAACTGGGCTAATAGCTTCCCTTTTTTGTGAAGGGGCATACAAATGATATAGAAGCGTGGTCAAAGTAGCGCAACTAATTGATTTCGCTAGATACACGGAAAAGATTTATTTTTGAAACGCCATCGAAGAACTGGGAGGAAAGTGGTTCACCTTTTCTACAACATAGTTTTGTCTCGCGCTGCTCGAAGAGATTCTTTTCATAACCAAACTTTGTTTAATGTGATTACAAAAGTTGAGATGGTATCGATGGGAATTGTTATCCTCCTATGTTTTTATGTAGAAATACATATCGTCGATGTTTTTGCAAAACCGCCTATTGCCCAATTGCAAAACCGCCTATCTACGGCACTCAAATTTAACAGGAGAGCGAAACAACGGTTTATTCTTTGAAGGCGTTGCCTTGATAGGCGGTATTTTCCGTAGCTATTATTTTACAAATCTGTTGTTTTAATAACGATTTAACGATTTTTATGCATAAATCTCGATGCCTGGAGTTCAGGGTTACCAAATCTCTTTTTTTGCCACAACGGCGATTTAGGCGGTTTTGAAAATACATCGGCGATATTTACTCTTAAGGTACATCTGTCTACTTTTAGGTAAAGTTTTCCGTAAATTAGGTAAAATTTTATAATTCACTTTTCCATACCTGATGGAATATCAGCTGTAAAAGGAGACCAGAAACAAACAGCTAACTGCTCTTTGTTTTAATAAACATACCTCCAAGTCAAAATTAAACATACCTACCAGGGTTGCATTGAGAATCTGACACAAATTAATTGCCAATTAATTTTTAATTGGCAATTAATAATTTGAAATTTTGTATGATAAATTGGGTAATAATTAAGGCTTAAATTGGTGAAAAGATTCTTAATTGCCAATTAGGTGCCTGTTTGAACATAGTCTTAGTACTTCCTCGTACTTAATCCAGTGTTTTCATGGGGTTTTTCTTGGGGTAACCTGTTCGAACGTCTGCTCCCAGTGTAAATCAGATAATCCTATGATCAGACAGTGAGGGCTCACTGAGCCCCGCCACTGAGCCATTCTGCTGCTGAGAGTAATGTAGAGTAATTCCTCTCTGATCGTAGTGATGCACGTTGGCTCATTTCCAACATTGTGAAAGCACAGGTCTTCGCTAATTATATATTCCAGAAGGCACTCACCCCTACGGTTTGTGTTCGAGCTGCCCCACTTCATGTTGTGGGCGTTCGCATCGCAGCCAAGTCGTCTCCTGTGGCAGAATTCTAAAAGCTGCTGTACCTCAAGGGGTGGCACGCTGGCGTTGTCCTCCGGAAAGTAGGCCGCAGGCAAGACGAGCTCCATCTCCCTCCAGAGTAGCCTGGACCGCTACCAGATCCTGTGTAAGAAACTCTGTAATGCAGAAATAATTAATATTATTCTTTAGCTCTGGGTCTCTCACAGGAGAGGTGCCAAGTAATCCTATTGCTGTTGTGATTGAGGCCCCTCACCTGACCCCTGTAGGTTCACGCTTCCTGTATCAGTAGAATTCCCAGGACCTCCAATACCAGATTGACTGTACTAAAATTAATTTAAATATTGGGAAACTTTAAACATATAAGAACGTAAATTACCGCTCTCGTTTTTGCGTTACTTTACAGAGTTTTTCGGTTACTGAACGACAGTAAAAGCTAACTAGCCACAATTTCGAAACCTTTTATTAATGTACAGACTTTTTATAGGGTTTATGAAGTTTATACGGTTTTTACTCATTTAGATGAGTAGCCTTAACGTTTAAAACTTGTTAACACCAGTGGTTATTTCTATTTACATATATATTTCTTCTTTTATTTCAGGTTACTATGCAATCAGTTTTATGTTCGTTAAAAAATTCAAAAGTGAATATAAAGCAGCTGCATGAAAAAAACAGTAATGTTTTCACCACGAACTTTTTACCAACTATTAACCTTTAATTTTATATAGAAGAATAAAACTTCATAAAGAAATTAATTTAAAAATGTTTGTTTTTCAATCTTCCGTATCCGAAGCAGTAGCATATATTTGGCTGCTCGCTGAAGGTTCCACTGGTACATAAGTTGAATGAAAACATCGGGAAAATATAGTGCGCAGATCTGCCCTTTCTTGTCGCTTTGGAGATTCTGGAATGCAATCCTCGTCGTCAGAGGTTGAAGATCCCACAAACTTGGGTACATCTGTTTCACGTACTGTTACGCTGGAATCTGTTTGATTGTGTGTAATCTGCGATATTTCTACCTCCATAGATACAGGTTTCAGCATACTTCTATAGGAGACTGATTTCGCATTAGCAGGCCGATCATTATTTCGAGGAATACCAAGAGAAGAAGGAAAACTTTGTTTATCTCTGCAACTTTCAAATTGAAATAACGATGAACTATTGCTTAACGTCGATTCTGCGGCAATGCACTTTTGCTTCAAATCCTGTTTAAGACTTTTAGATTGATTTGCTGCCTTTGAAGGTTTCACTTTCCGTTTTCGGGCTGTTTTCAATGCTGCAGTTTCTTGGACTTCGGTTTCATGACAGCTATCGTAAAAACTAACTTCTTCTGGTGACAACGTTGACATGATAAGAAGGCAATGAATATCATCTCTGTGTGTTACACTCGCAAACACCGGACTATTGAAAACAATAATAATTAATAAACAAAGAATTGTATGGAAGTATATCGTTAGTATAGTATGGAAAGGGTTAAACTCACATCGTCGCTGAAATACAAAAAGTCATAGCTAGGGCTCGGAACCTTATGCAAATGCATGTTTTTATTGGGCATCTTCAAATGGAAATGGTTAAATTATCTTTACGAATCATGAAATTTCCTTTAAAATGCCACTCAATCGTTAGTGCATATTTTTGCATATTTTGCGGTGAATGCATCATTTTGCATATAGCAAAAAATACCTGATTTTGTATATTTCTTGTACATATTTTTAGTATATTTTACAATAAATGCATGTGGTTTTTGCATATTTTTACTTTTTATGATTACAATCATTTAAGTTTAGTGCGAAATCTCTTGACAAAAAATGCCCCTTGACAAAAACATTGCCGTTGAGACACTCTCTTCTACCTCTGTTAGATCTCAACTAGTGGAAGACTGTAGGAGACAACTGGCTTATATATCTGATCAATACGAAATTACCCAAATATGGGTCCTGGGACAAAGGGACATTTATATTAACGAGACAGCGGACGAATTAGCAAGGTGTGGTTCCGTACTGAATGTGTTCTACGCGGTGGACATGGGCGCCTCACTCATGAAGATAAAAGTAACAATTTACGAAATTTATCACTCGAATGCCAAGCAGAGGTGGAACCGTACAAGATCGTACAGGATTACCCGGCAGTTCTGGGTGTCCTACGACCCATTTAAAACCAAAGCTCTCTTAAGAATGAGCAAAGAAGATACCTACAAACTTACTGCAGTGTGCATACTTTACTCGCCCGCTGGGGTACATGCCGAAAGGATTGGATTGCCCTTCAACAGGGTATATCGCAGTAGCGATCAGTGTCCAGATTAAAAAGAAAATCGCAATTTCCTAAAAAAAATCGCCAAAAATCGCCAATTTTTTTAAAATAAAATTCATGAAATCGATTTAACAAATCTTTTATTTTAAAAATTAAATCTTGTTATAATGTAGTTTTTAAAACCAAAAACGAATATAATACCTTCAGAGGGTAATAATAAATAACACAAATCACTTATATAATAGTGATGAACAAAAAATTTTCATTAAAAATAAGCATACAAAAATACAAATATATTTGTTTCAACACATTTTGCAATAGTACTGCGCAATTATTAAATTTATTATAACTCGTATTAATTGATTATTCGCACAATCCGCTTTTAAGAGCTCGGCGCTAAAAATAAAATAAAAACCTATAATAAGGCGAGATCAGCTATTTCCACAATTTCTTCAAAATCACCTATAGTGTGAATCATTTATATTTCTGTTTTGTCATATATTGAGCTATTCAACCTTGATACTATTGAACCAACCTCATCCTATTTCGAATCTTAGTTTTTCTTGAATTCATTACTGAAAAACGGCTCACAAAAGCATATGAGTGCGGCAAGGATAATAATATGAAGGCTACTTTACTTATATTTCCAAACATTTTATTGCCTGTTGCGGTTTTCACTCCGTAAGCAATTATCCAAAATTCTTCAGAGTCGGATGGAATGGTTCTGAAAAAAGTTATTGGCAGGTCCCTGAAACTTGCCCTCTTGTGATTCTCACACTTTTCTGGTGACAAAAATCAAAGCTTTTTAAAAGTATTTAATTGACTATGTAATCGTTTAAAATTTCTTCGATAAGGGTGATAAAAAATTTTTGACAGTCTTTTAATATGCTTCTTAAGCCAAGTTTATCATGCAGTTCATTAGCCTCTTCTGTAAAGTTATAGTGGAAAACTAAGTTTTCTATATTTTTATAATTGGAAAAAATGTATTTGAAGGGAAAAAATCGCCAAAAATCGCCAATGGCGATTTTCTAAATTTTTACGCGCAAACATCCAAAAAAAAATCGCCAAATTGGCGCGAAATCGCCAAATCTGGACACTCTGGTAGCGATGACCGACTTAAAAGAGACAGTCGAACACTTCCTGGGCTAAAGACACTCCGCAAGCCATTCCTGCAGAATTTTGTACATAAATATTTATGGCGTTCCAAGTAAATTGATTTCGTTATTTTCTTGTTAAAATGCATGTGTTATTTATTTTTGTACCGGCAATAAAATGTTAGGAAAATCTATTTTATTGCATATTCTACTTATTTAAAGCGCATTTTATGAATTTTGCGTGAATATTATATGCGCATATTTTAGATTTTTTAGTGCATGAGATTCCGAGCCCTAGTCATAACTAATAAAAAATAAAATTCACTCTTTGATCGATTATGATGCACTTGATCGAATTATAAGTCACCACATCGTTTTATGCAATAAAAATTTTAGTTAGTTTTAGCTTTTTGCATTTCAGCGACGATGTGAGATACGACCATTCCATACTATAGTAACGATATATACATATGTATATACTAACCTACCGGCCTCGTCGAATTGAAGGCATACATTTTCGTTTAATGCCTCGGCAAACATCAGTAACGCTCTGAATTCCTTTAAGCAAAATGTAATTGACGTTTCTTTATCTATCATGTAATTCTCGAACTCATCCGCACTTCATGAAAAGGCAAACATTTAATAGCAGCGAATTATTTGAAGTTAGCAAATGTCTGTATTTACTTTAATTGCAATTGTGATCGCATAAATTTCTCATTAACTCTTGAACCCTCAACATAATTTTTGATACTGATTTTTTTATCTTCGGCTTCTAAAGTGATCTCTTCTTCTGCAGGATTAAAGTTATTTGATATTTCCGTGAATATCCTATGGGAACCACAAATACTAAAATAAGAAGTAATCAAGATTATTTTAATAAGTTAAAATTATTTAATTAACTTACGTGTTACATGTACTATCGGGTGTCATTTCTGCAGTTACATTCTCTTCGTCATCTACTGATATAAAAGTATTCTTCGTTGTTTCGTGTTGGCATTTTAACTGAATCTGAAATTTCGCTTTATCCAGTATATACGCCATATCACAACGCTCTACCTGGAATTAAAATTATAGGCGCATATTCAAGTCATATTCACATACTTCAAAATTAAATCGTAAACTCTTTCATAGCCAATTGAGTTTCTACTTAAATGTATATCTCAAGGCGAATTAATATAAGGTGATAGCAGGAGTACAAAAACAAAA